GGAGTTGGAAACCTCCCCTTCATCTCCTCCTCCATCCCGGGCTGTTGTACTTTATTGTCTTTTCGGTATGTAGATGGGGCTTATTCCGTCCTCTTTAGGGGCTTTATTCAACTTGCAGAGCCTGAAAGTATTATGGCAACAATCTCTGGATATCCCAACCATGATTGGCTTCAAGGTTGAAAGCAATGAAATAACCGTATGGCTAGTTGCACGTCCTTATCAGCTTTGTTTCATCAATATCGCTTGTGTGTGCTTGCTGTCCCTCTGGCCATGCCCACAAGTTGCTTTAATGTCATTGCATTTTCTGGTTCTTACAAATGACAACTCACATATCAGCACGTCTGTTGAGCAGTATTCATCTCTTTCCTTCCATCTACCTGTAGAATGGAAATGGAAACCTCTTTGACTCAAAGGATCTCTTACTAGGTTGGTGAAGTAGGCTGGCCAACTTTGCTTGCATAGAGCACTCTTGTAGGAGAATGAACAGTAAATGAGTGACCTGGATTCGTTTGGATGTTATGGCATGGTTCGCGACATGTCTGCCTATAGGGGCAAGCTGGCACCATCTTCACATCCATCTGTTCCCACTTGCGGCCTCCCTTGTGTGTGTCTACCAACGTGCTCCTTCTCTTCTTTTCCCTTCTCCACTGTGAAATCCTTTCCCGTCACCTGTTTGTCGCTTTTCTCTCTCGTTATCTCCTACTTAGCCCCACCACTGTTCCCATTTGTAGTTGTAATGTCAAGGTCGGTGCGGCTGTGCCCATGACTTCGCATTTTGATCTCCCCCCTTTCCATTGCAGCAATGTCACTGGAACAAACCTCACGTGCCCACCTGACAACACCGACTGTGAAACAAGACAAGATCCGATCTCGGGTTTTTGCTTGACGTGTAGATCATTTTGCATGACTTGCGGCAAACCTGCAGGCGAGTGATTACAGCAGATTCTCACCAGAGTAGTACTGTGTTGATGATAGAATTACATAAGGCATGTGAAGCACGACAAAAGGCAAAGCTGTGTCTTTGGAGAACCAAAGGTTGCGCCGAACCATGGTATGGGCTCTCGTGTTGCTTGGCTGCTCTGTGCTTCCGATTTGAATACTGCCCGTCTTCACTGTCTTGAAGCGTTTCGTGGTAAACAGCTTGCTATGATCACCACAGAGTGGTTCTCTGCTTGTGCAGGCCCAATCAAGACGAACAGCAGCAGCAACAGCAGCAGCAAAGGCAGTAGCAACAGCACCAACGGCAGCAGCAACAGCACCAACGGCAGCAGCAACAGCACCAACGGCAGCAGCAACAGCACCAGTGGCAGCAGCAACAGCACCAGTGGCAGCAGCAACAGCACCAGTGGCAGCAGCAACAGCACCAGTGGCAGCAGCAACAGCACCAATGGCAGCAGCAACAGCACCAGTGGCAGCAGCAACAGCACCAATGGCAGCAGCAACAGCACCACCGGCAGAAGCAACAGCGTGGCTACTTCACCAGCAGCATCTGGAGGTGGAAATCGAGTGCCAGTGAGGAGTTGGCATTGCTGTTGCTGCTGTGGTCATTCTTCTGCTTCTGGGAACTACTCATTTCTTCTTGAGGCAGAAGCATAAAGCAACCAGAACAAGTTCACTCTAGATGACCAGACTAAGTTCGTGCAGCTATTTGCACCTGTTTGCTTGCGTTTAGGGTAATGAGTGAGGAAAAAGGTTCTCAATGCATGAACCTGGCAAGCGTGCAAGTTTACAGGTCTAGTTACACCTCGAATTGGTCGTCAGTCCGGTAAACTCATCTTCTTTCTTTCGTCCAGTACATTCGGGAAGCGTATCACAAAAGCCTCGTGTCTCAAAAGACTAGAAAGTGCAGTGGAAACGTTAGCTATTTATGTGTAATGCGGTGCAGAGTGGTACATTGCCTTTGTGGCACTTACTTAATGGACATGTCAAGGCCGGAATGTACCCTTATTATTATACAGGGGTAGTACTTAAGATCCCTTTCTTGCTGGTAGCAACATCCAGTAACAAATGGAAGTGAGGACAGGACGTCCAGGGACAGGTTAAAAAAATCCCATCCTTGTTATTTCTGGTGAAGTATTTTCCTGGTCTAAGTAGCATGCTGCTGGCCGGCTGAGATGGAATACTGGTTGAAGGATCCAGTGGACGTGAAAACCCTCAGATATAGCCTGGCCAAGCCATTGGAGGGAGGGGGGAGAAGGCAAAGACGGTAAAGGCACCTCCTTGGTCTACGTAGCGTGCTGCTGGTCGGCTGAGATGCAATACTCGTTGAAGGATCCAGTGGACGTGAAAACCCTCAGATATAGCCTGGCCAAGCCATTGGAGGGAGGGGGGAGAAGGCAGAAAGGAAGAGAGGGACAGGGTGGTTGGCGTAGGGATAAGTACAAGAAAGTCCTGTTGAAGGAGGTGTGGTCACGAGGAAGAAAGTTGGTGGATGAGGAAAATCAGGTGGAAAGGTGATGCAGAGTCAGGTCAATGGACAGCTGATTGCAGTGAGATGCACAATGTGTGCAACTCTACCTTGCCACTACCACTGGTGTGCACAAAGCAGTATAACAAGGCGGGGAAGAGTACAGGACCAAATGGCACATCGTACTTTGGCTTGTGTGTGGCCCTACCAATACACAGTCAGTGCATGTGTGGTTGCAAGTGAGTTTTGAGAATTTTCAAAACTCACCTGTGTGGTGTAGTGCTAGTGGGTGAAACTCACCCCCTATGCTGCTGCTGCTGCTGCTGCTGTTGCTGCTGCTGCTGTTGCGGCTGGTGCTCTTGTTGCTGCTGTTGCAGCGAAAACTGCTGCTCCTGCTGTGGCACAGTCGAGCGGACGGCCAAGGCACAGATGCTGCACACAAAAGGGGAGAGCGCACGCACAGGGGAGAGTCGACTCAAAAGACATAGTTGAGTGGACAGCGATGGCACAGATGCTGCACACAAAAGGGGAGAGTGCATGCATGGGTAAATGCACAGGCGTTACAATCAGGTGAAAGGATATCACATCCATACAGTTGATTATCGAGTCGACTCAAACATGCACAGGCGGGTGAGAGGGCACTGTAACCATCCAGTTCAGAAAACAGGAGGTTAGGTCTCAGGGTAACAGAGCTGTCAGCGTTCCTTCCATGCTACTGCGAAGCTTTACTCCCCTAGGCTTACACCAACAGCACTCTGATGTGAACCTCTCTTGAGAATTCTCAAAAGTGACTCTGGGACTCCCAGGGCAAAGCGTGAGCTTTTGAGATTTCTCACAAGGCTTACAGCAATAGCACTCTGACGTGAACCTCTCTGCAGATGGGACGAACGTGGAGCATTTGAAAGCATAAACAGCTTGGTGCCAAAGAATGTTGACACCGAAGAGAATTCTCAAAAGTGATTTCCGAATGGCGTTCAAAAGCGTCATCAAACTTGGTGCCAATTAGAATGTTGACAGTAGTTACTTCTTCCCCACCCTTATGGTTTGATCATGCTTAAGTATGTCACTATTATTTCTCTCCTACCGCTCACCTCTCTTCCTGCGCTGCAGTCACATGGCACACAGTCACATCGCTGTGCCTCTTGCTGTCCCTCCTACCAGTCACCAGTCACATCGCTGTGCCTCCTGCTGTCCCTCCTACCAGTCACCAGTCACATCGCTGTGCCTCTTGCTGTCCCTCCTACCAGTCACCAGTCACATCGTTGTGCCTCCTGCTGTCCCTCCTACCAGTCACCAGTCACATCGCTGTGCCTCCTGCTGTCCCTCCTACCAGTCACCAGTCACATCGCTGTGCCTCCTGCTGTCCCTCCTACCAGTCACCAGTCACATCGCTGTGCCTCCTGCTGTCCCTCCTACCAGTCACCAGTCACATCGCTGTGCCTCCTGCTGTCCCTCCTACCAGTCACCAGTCACATCGCTGTGCCTCCTGCTGTCCCTCCTACCAGTCAACAGTCACATCGCTGTGCCTCCTGCTTTTCTCCCACCACTCACCTCTCTTCCCGTGCTGCAGTGACATGGAGACCAGTCATGCCACTGCCAATTGCTCGTCTCTGAGCCTGACGTGACCAGTCATGCCACTGCCAATTGCTCGTCTCTGAGCCTGACGTGACCAGTCATGCCACTGCCAATTGCTCGTCTCTGAGCCTGACGTGACCAGTCATGCCACTGCCAATTGCTCGTCTCTGAGCCTGACGTGACCAGTCATGCCACTGCCAATTGCTCGTCTCTGAGCCTGACGTGACCAGTCATGCCACTGCCAATTGCTCGTCTCTGAGCCTGACGTGACCAGTCATGCCACTGCCAATTGCTCGTCTCTGAGCCTGACGTGACCAGTCATGCCACTGCCAATTGCTCGTCTCTGAGCCTGACGTGACCAGTCATGCCACTGCCAATTGCTCGTCTCTGAGCCTGACGTGACCAGTCATGCCACTGCCAATTGCTCGTCTCTGAGCCTGACGTGACCAGTCATGCCACTGCCAATTGCTCGTCTCTGAGCCTGACGTGACCAGTCATGCCACTGCCAATTGCTCGTCTCTGAGCCTGACGTGACCAGTCATGCCACTGCCAATTGCTCGTCTCTGAGCCTGACGTGACCAGTCATGCCACTGCCAATTGCTCGTCTCTGAGCCTGACGTGACCAGTCATGCCACTGCCAATTGCTCGTCTCTGAGCCTGACGTGACCAGTCATGCCACTGCCAATTGCTCGTCTCTGAGCCTGACGTGACCAGTCATGCCACTGCCAATTGCTCGTCTCTGAGCCTGACGTGACCAGTCATGCCACTGCCAATTGCTCGTCTCTGAGCCTGACGTGACCAGTCATGCCACTGCCAATTGCTCGTCTCTGAGCCTGACGTGACCAGTCATGCCACTGCCAATTGCTCGTCTCTGAGCCTGACGTGACCAGTCATGCCACTGCCAATTGCTCGTCTCTGAGCCTGACGTGACCAGTCATGCCACTGCCAATTGCTCGTCTCTGAGCCTGACGTGACCAGTCATGCCACTGCCAATGCCAATTGCTTTCCTTCCTATCACTCACCTCTCTTCCCCCGCTGCAGTCACGTGGTGCACAGTCACATCGCTGTGCCTTCTACCAGCAGAGCTCCCGACAAGATCAGATGCAAAGGAGGAGGAGGAGGAACTGGAGTTGGATTGTGAGGAGTGAGAGGAGGAGTGTTGGGAGGAACGAGAGGAGTGAGGGGAGGCGTGAGAGAAGGCGGAGAGGGGGAGGTGAAATATATGGGCAGTGCCGGTGCTGCTGGTGAGAGCAAGAGAGGGAGGGAGGGATCCTGGCAGGGAGAAGGTGAGGGAGAAGATAGAAGCAGGGTAGGCGCCTCTTCTGAAAGAGAAGAGCTGGTGACAGGGATGAAAAGGGGTGGGAAGCGGTGGGAAGGGGTGGCATTGGTGATAGATGAAGGGAGACTGATTATGGGGTGGCTCGAGAAATATGAACAGCACATTACAATGATTATTTACTTATTGATAAGGATTCCCAGAGTGCAAGAAGGGAAGGCCCCTCCTCTCACTTCCACGTGCCTCCACCTTGTTGCCTGTCCAGATGCAGTGTCCCCGAATGGCTGTGCCCCCCATTGATACACTCATAATCGGTCCAGGCTCAATGAACACAGGAATAACAGTCCTCTCCTCTCCCCCCCACCTTGTTGCCTGTCCAAATGCACTGCACCCGAATGACCGTGCCCTTGGCGGGTGCTTCTAATATGGTCCAGATTCAATGAATGCAAGCAAGGAAGACCAATCGTATTTGCCCACCTTGTTTCACTTGCTTGCACGCAGCCCACCTTGTTGCGTGTCCGGATCCAGTGAACCCAAGTGACGGTGCCCCATGGTCCAGGTTCAGTGAACACACAATTAACAGTCTGGTCCTCTTCCCCCCACCTTGTTGCCTGTCCGGATGCAGTGCACCCGAATCACGGTACCCTTGACAGATGCCGATGCTAGCAACTCCCTCCCCCCTCCTCCTCCTCCTCCCTCCTCATTCCCCCTTTCTCTCCATTCTTCCCCCTCCCCTTCCTCCCTTCCTCCCCCCTCACTGTCCCCTTGAAAATTCGGCTCATTTTGCAGCAGAGGAGATGGAAGGGTTGGGGGCAGCGAGGTGATTTCAACGGCTGCGATCGGCCCGTCATGAGCCTTGATCTGAGAACGAGAGAAGAGGAGGCGGGAGAGGGAAGGTAGGGAAGGCAGAAGGGAGGTGATTTCAACTGCTGCAATCGGCCCGTCAAAAGTGAGGGAAAGAGGAGCAGGAAAGAGGAAAGGTTCGAATCAAAGTGCAAGGTGAGGGAGAGATGCGGGGAGAGGAGAGAGGGGCGAGGAGAGAGGGGCGAGGAGAGAGGGGCGAGGAGGAGCAGAAGCAGACTCACCTGCCCGAAGGCCTGGAGAGAGATGAGATCGACTGGCAGCAGCGTGCCTTGAGCTGATGAGGAGGAGGAGGAGGCGGCTTTTGATGCGCCTCAACAGGCTCACCTGACCAAAGGCGTGTGGAGAGATGAGATCGACTGGCAGCAGCGTGCGTTGAGCCGAGGAGGTGGAAGCGGAGGGGGAGGCAAGAACGGAGGGGGATAGAGGCATTGAAAGTGTTGTGGAAGCAAGAATGTCCCAGTGGGTACCTTTGGTCTTAGTGGTCGCGGGTTCAACTCTCATCGGCAGCACCTTCTCTTCTCATTATGCCGAACATGACACTCCCACACTCCACCACACTCACCCACAGTGAAGTGTGGTCACAGTTGGCATTGCCATCTGTCCACCCATCCCATACTCACCTTGTTGGCTCCTATGGTGTGCCACATGCTGCCATGTAGGCTGTTGTTCCAGCCTGGCCCACATGTGCAACATGTGGCCTCAATTGCTAGCTTGGCAAGGTTGGCTAGCCCTGCCCTCAGCTTTGAGGTGCTGCAGCTAGCCTCAAGAGTTCAGCCACATAAATGTGGCTTCCCACTTCTCTAGAACTCATCCTTGGAAAGGACATTGCTCTAGTCTTTCAGGCTTGTACCATCTTCCTACTAAGGATATATTGTTCTTCTCTCATTGTGCCTCAAGTTCACCGATCCTCATTCTACAGAAAGGAGAGAGGGGCGAGCACGGGCAGAAGCAACAGACTCACCTGTCCAAAGGCGTGTGGAGAGATGAGATCGACTGGCAGCAGCGTGCGTTGAGCCGATGAGGAGGAAGGGGAGGAGGAGGCAAGAACGGGGCATTGAAAAGAGAGAGGGGCGAGAACGGGCAGAAGCAACAGGCTCACCTGGCCAAAAGCCTGGAGAGAAACGAGGTCGACAATGAGAAGAGTGCCTTGATCCGATGAGCGGGACGAGGAGGAGGACGAGGTGGCTAGCGCGGAGAGGGAGAGGAGGGAGGGGCGAGGAGCAGCAGCAGGGACGGCACAGAAGCAGGGGGTGAGGGGGCGAGGAGAGAGCGGGCTCAGGGCACAGATGCCTGGGAGGGTCAGGGGAGGGGCGGGGGATGGGAGGGGGGACAGCACAGGGGAACATGGCTCATGGGAACATGGCACATGCAAATAGGAAGGGGATAGGGGGCGAGGAGAGAGCGGGCTCAGGGTATAGATGCCTGGGAGGGGACACAGGCAGGGAGGATGGGAGGGGGAACAGCACAGGGGAACATGGCTTATGGGAACATGGCACATGCGAACACGGCACATACAAAAGGGAAGGGGAGAGGGGGCGGGGAGAGAGCGGGCTCAGGGCACAATGCCTGGGAGAGACAGGGGAGGGCAAGGAGGGAATGGGGAGAGGGGAGAGGGAGAAAACTGGCAATGGGTTGAATGTCAAGAGAAGCAGCAGCAGCAGCAGCAGCAGCAGCAGCAGCAGCAGCAGCAGCAGCAGCAGCAGCAGCAGCAGCAGCAGCAGCAGCAGCAGCAGCAGCAGCAGCAGCAGCAGCAGCAGCAGGGACGGCGCAGAAGCAGGACGAGGGGGAGAGAGGGCGAGGAGAGAGCGGGCTCAGGGCACAGACTCCTGGGAGGAACAGGGGAGGGAAACGAGGAAATGGGGAGAGGGGAGAGAGAGGAGAACAATGGCAGGGGGAGAAAGGCAAGGGGGAAATAAGATTGGGAAAAGAGGGATCAGATTCCTGGAAGGCGACTGAAAGGGGAGAGCTGCAGGGGGGAGATCGTTTGAGTCGAACAGTTTGGCTTTTATGCGACTAGAAGCATCACCGTTGGGGTTTGGAGCGACAGTGAGGGAGAGCAGCAGAGGGAAGCCGGCAGCAACACCCTGGGGAGTGACGTCATGCAGTGATAGCCTGGATTCGAGGAGGACTAACAGCCTGTTTGGTTTGAGACACAGAGAACACAGCAGCACACAGCAGCACACAGCAGCACACAGCAGCACACAGCAGCACACAGCAGCACACAGCAGCACACAGCAGCACACAGCAGCACACAGCAGCACACAGCAGCACACAGCAGAGAGAGGAGGGAAGCCGGCAGCAACACCATGGGGAGTGACGTCATGCAGTGATAGCCTTGACTCGAGGAGGACTAGTAGCCTGCAATGCACGCACACACAATGCAAGAGCGGGTGGCAAACGAGAAGCGGGAGGGGAGAAGCACAGTCAGTCATGCACTGATATCCTTGAATCGAGGAGGACTAGTAGCCTGAGATACAGGCAAGCACAACATGAGAGGAACACACAGTAGCAGAGATGAGAGAGAGAAGCAAAGTCATGCAGTGATAGCCTGGATTCGAGGAGGACTAGTAGCCTGTAGTACAGGCGCGCACAACATGAGAGCAACACACAATAGCAGAGACGAGAGAGAGAGAAGCACAGTCATGCAGTGATAGCCTGGATTCGAGGAAAACTAAAAGCCTGTAGTACAGGCGCGCACAACATGAGACAAAACACAGTAGCAGAGATGAGAGAGAGAAGCGCAGTCATGCAGTGATAGCCTGGATTCGAGGAAAACTAGTAGCCAGTAGTACAGGCGCGCACAACATGAGAACAACACACAGTAGGCGCCATGTGAGGAAGGAAAGAGTGCCGATGGGGGTGAGATGCTTTTGAAGGCACCTCAAAGCTCACCTAGAGTGGTTGAGACGCACGGCGGTGATGATGGTGAGGAAGGAGAGGGTGCCGAGTGGAGTGAGCTTCTTTTATACGCACCACAGAACTCAAATCTCAAAGCTCAAAGCTCGAAGCTCACCTAGAGTGGTTGAGACGGACTGCAGTGATGATGGTGAGGAAGGAGAGGGTGCCGAGGGGGGTGAGGGAGGAGGGCAAGGCAGTGGGGACAGAGGGAAATGAGGAGAAAAGATGACTCATCTCAACCGTTCCCTCAAAGCTCACCTGGAGTGGTTGAGACGGACTGCGGTGATGATGGTGAGGAAGGAGAGGGTGCCGAGTGGAGTGAGCTTCTTTTATACGCACCACAGAACTCAAATCTCAAAGCTCAAAGCTCGAAGCTCACCTAGAGTGGTTGAGACGGACTGCAGTGATGATGGTGAGGAAGGAGAGGGTGCCGAGGGGGGTGAGGGAGGAGGGCAAGGCAGTGGGGACAGAGGGAAATGAGGAGAAAAGATGACTCATCTCAACCGTTCCCTCAAAGCTCACCTGGAGTGGTTGAGACGGACTGCGGTGATGATGGTGAGGAAGGAGAGGGTGCCGAGTGGAGTGAGCTTCTTTTATACGCACCACAGAACTCAAATCTCAAAGCTCAAAGCTCGAAGCTCACCTAGAGTGGTTGAGACGGACTGCAGTGATGATGGTGAGGAAGGAGAGGGTGCCGAGAAGGGTGGGAGAGGAGGGAGATAAAGAAGTAGGGGAGGTGGATGGAGGAGGTGGGAAAGCTGGATGGGCGACGGAAGCTAGATGCAGCTCTCGAGGCGACAGGTGCGGCTGGAGGGGGAGGGGGGATGGGAGATGGAAAATGGGAGGTTGACGATTATGGGGATGACTGAAATGAGAGTGAGAGGAGGGAGGGGTTGGGAAGGTGGTTTGAAGACAGGTAACGGGGATGGGGATGGAGAGATGAGAGATGGCGAATCGTGGGGGAATGGCAGGGTAGGGTGGAGGGATGGAGGGATGAGGCACAGCCATGCGAGTATCACAGCTTGTAAACCTCGTAGCCGTGTAAACAGCGTTGTTTTGGGACGTCTCAAAACAGCTTGTAAACCTCTTAGCCGTGTAAACAGAGTTGTTTTGAGACGTCTCAAAACAGCTTGTAAACCTCGTAGCCGTTAAGTGCGGCTACTATAGGTCTAGGGTCATGGATTTAAGAATTGGAACTAGCAAAGGAGATACGACAACTTGGTCGCAGTAGCAGCCATACAGGTTACTAGCAAGGGAACTTCAGCCAGGAAAATTCAGCCAGGAAACTTCAGCCAGGAAACTTCAGCCAGGAAACTTCAGCCAGGAGATTTCAGCGTCCCTAAGGTCCTTCAGAGATTGGTAGAGAAAGGGTGTGGGTGAGGAGCTCGAGGACTTTTGAGGCGCCTCAAAAGAGGGGCGGGAGAGGGGAGACGAGAGAAGAGCGGGGAGGAGAAGGGGAGCTACCGTGTCTCCAGTGCCAACGAATGCGATTAATGGTGGTGCGCCACGTGGCGCGATGAGAGTGAGCTCCGCGATCTTTATCGGGCCCACGCCCAGGTGGCTCACCACGGGCTGCGCCACGTCAGCACAGCGGAATATCTTGAAACCTGCTGACGTGGCCACTGCCACGTAGCTGCACCCAAGGAAGATCACGGCAAAAGGGTGGTGGACGGATATGGGGAGGGTGGAGAGGGGCAAAGAAGAAAAGCGGAGCAACGAAAGCGAGTTGAGGTTACTACTAGGGAGCAGAAAGGGAGTGCGAAGTTGGGAGGTAGGATAGGACTTCTAGTAGCTTGGACGGAAGGTGATTTAAGGGGTTGTGTGAGTGACGATGACTGCAGAGATCGTAGGGTCGTGCCTTTGCATGCTCTACCTGCCATCCGCCGTGAATGCAGCATAGCGAATCTCCTCTAACGCGTATTCCCCTCCCCTTTCCCTCCCAGCTGGTTCTGTCCGCTTAGCGCCACGACTGTTCGTAAACGCCCGACCCATCCAACGGCGCGGATCAATCCTTGGAATCAGGCAGCATCATCCAACGGTGCGGATGGACTTTAGGAATCAGGCAGCGCAATCCAGCGGTGGCGTCGCATATGGGTAGCGTCGCACACGAAGCAGCGTCGCTAGTAATGTGTTCGGACGCGCGCGGATAGCATCGCACGCAGATAGCGACGCGGGCAAAGTAGCGACGCGCGCAGATAGCGACGCGCGCAGATAACGACGCGCGCAGATAGCGACGCACGCAAAGAGCGACGCGCGCAGATAGTGTGGCACGCGCGCGGATAGCGTCGCACGCGGATAGCGAAGCTGGATCTTGCGAGTCGTCCAAACAACTATCCGAATGCCAGTCCGCGCATAGCGCCTACAATACCCAGAGTTTGCCTCGATTAGACCCGCATTAGGTTGTTATCCTGAGCTTCTAAGAGTTCGTTCTTGCAACTCCCGCTCTTTGCTCAGCCCATGCCGCCAATTCTTCAGTTGTCGCCTTCGAACGAACATCTTCGGTATTAGCCAGAAACCTCGAAGTCGATAAATTCATAGTATGCTTTTATGGAATACGCTACACAAATGATTGAAGCAATATCAACAGCGATCAACCCATCCTGACCTACAAATTTCGCACATTCGTACATTGTAAGGCCTCCGGCAATACCTTTGTTTTCCTCCACCGTATTGTTGGACTACAAACTTTACACCTATAATATCGTGTTATTATGGCTAGTTCGATTGGGCGTAAAGACAGTCATTGCATCTTCTGTAACAGCATGTGAACATCTGAAGCAAGGGCATAGTTCTCGTTGCTCCTTCTCCTGCAATGGTGGAAGGGAGGAGAGGAGGGTAAGTTGGGAGATGAGAAGACCACAGCTGCTGCAGAATACCACGATGCGCAAGCAGCTTCATGGTAGTGCAACAAGGATCCTTCATCTCTGCTGGTTCATTTAAGAAGAAAAAGTAGCAAGGATACAACCTTCATCGTTTTCCAAGCGTGTGCGCACAGCCCGAGTTTGCTTGTCCTACACGAAGGTGGGCATACGGTAGTCAGAGGGGAAGAGGAGGACATGAAGGAGAGGAGGGGAGGAGGCTATACCTGAGGATGGGGTGGAGCTGGTCTTCGAGCACCCTGAAACCCTCGTAGCAATCATTGCATAACGAGGGTAGGGGAAGGGAGACTAGGGGAAGAGGATGGTGCACCTGAGCTGAGGGGAGACTGAGATGAGAGGAGGGGAGTGCACCTGAGAATGGGGTGAAGCTGGTCTTCGAGCACCCTGAAGCCCTCGTAGCAATCATTGCTAATGAGGGGAGGGGACAAGGGGAGCTGAGGAGCTGGGGAGATGAAGGGGGGGAGGAGGGGGCTATACCTGAGGATGGGGTGGAGCTGGTCTTCGAGCACTCTGAAGCCCTCGTAGCAATCATTGCAACGCTGCAACCTGCCGTGATTCACATGCCATGATGCAACATGCCATCACATGCCGTAAGATATACCGTAACTGTGAAGACCAGAATACACAGGGATTTGTACCGACGATGATCGCAGAAGATGAACAACAGTGACTCTCACAACCCTCCACTGAACCCCCTCATCCCGTCTTCTCACTTCGCTCCGCTTACCCCCCCCCCCTCCCCCTCCCACCTTGATTCTCACCTCTCCTCCATGTGCAGGTCAGCCCCATGGAGATGTGTGGCAGTGCGACAGCACTGATGGGCTCACTGAACGCCCTCAGCAGCTCACTCACACGCCCATCTGCCTTGAGCGTCAGCTTCATTGCCTCATTCAACCTCCCGTGCTCTCCCCTCCTTCCCTTGTTCTCACCTCTCCTCCATGTGCAGGTCTACGCCAGGAGAATGCGTGGCGGTGCGAGCAGCAGTGATGGGCTCGCTGAACGCCCTCAGGAGCTCGCGCAGCAGCGACAGCGCCACTCCCACGTACCTGGGGGTGGGAGGGAGGGAGTGTGGGAGGGGCGGGAGGAAGGGTGGGAGATAGAAGCGTGGATTTGACACTCAGTAGCTCGTGAAGCAGTGACGGTGCCACGTCATGTGCATTTGGTGGGAGGGGAAAGGGAAAAAGGGTGTGCTTGATTTTGCAGAGGGCGCAAGAAAGACAAATTGAGTCAAAAGTTGCCGCACGCTTGCAGTGTGGACAGTGATTCACAACACAACAGACGGTGGCAGAGGCCTAGCAAAGCACGACAACACATTTTTCAGACTCTTGACAGCACTGCTCAGCACCACACAGAAACACTCAGAAACGCTCCAGAACACACAGCATCACTCAGCACCGCACAGCACCACACAGGAACGCTCACTTGGAGTGGCTGCTGGCGAGCAGAGCCCTCAGCAGCGGCTGCAGCTGCAATGCTCCCTCCATGCCCACCGATACCAGCCGCCTGCCTCCCTGCATGGCCAGCACCTCCAACACGTCTGCCACCACCTGAGACGTGAGGGATAAGGAGGGAAATAACACATAAGGAGAGACACAAGGCAGCTCTCAGCAGCTGCAAGGCCCCTTCCATGCCCACCGATACCAGCCGCCTGTCTCCCTGCATAACCAGCACCTCCAACACGTCTGCCACCACCTGAGACGTGAGGGATAAGGAGGGAAATAACACATAAGGAGAGACACAAGGCAGCTCTCAGCAGCTGCAAGGCCCCTTCCATGCCCACCGATACCAGCCGCCTGCCTCCCTGCATGACCAGCACCTCCAACACGTCTGCCACCACCTGATGCACACGGGGGGATGAGAAAGGGAGATCGGAAGCAACAAAGAATGACAACGGGAAAGTAAGGCGATAGGCGTTATATCCTTGAGAGCAAACCATGCTGCCGCATATACTCCACATGCTCTCGTGCTCTCATGCAGCAAATGCTCCTGAATGCGCCTCACTCACTGCAAGGTCTTTCGAGGCTGCCAGGGCGGAGAGGGCAGGCAGCAGTTCTCCATCCACCCACAGCGCTGCCACGTGGCGCACTGCAGACAGCCGCCCCTGCAGCATGTGCTGCATGGCAGTGTGCCGCCCGTTCACACTCTCCATCACCACCATCTCATCGTCCTCCTCCCCCTCCTCCTCCTCTTGGCGTTTCTGCTGCTTCAATGGTAGTGAGGGCTGTGTGTGTGGTGGGAATAGGAGTAGGGGGAAGGGCAAGTGCATAAAAGGTGGGTTAATCCCGGCAGCATGTGCTGCATGGCTGTGTGCTGCCCGTTCACACTCTCCATCACCACCATCTCATCGTCTTCATCGTCTCCCCCCTCCTCTTGGCGTTTCTGTTGCTTGGATGGTAAGGAGGGCTGGGGAATGGGGCAGGGAGTGGGTTAGTCGTTGCTGCATGGCTGTGTGCCGCCCATTCACATTCTCCATCACCACCATCTCGTCATCCTCTTCGTCTCCCCCCTCCTCCTCTTGCCGTTTCTGCTGCTGGGATGGTAAAGATGGCTGGAGAAATGGATGGGAAATGGATGGGAAATGGATGGGAAATGGATGGGAAATGGATGGGAAATGGAGGGCGGGCCGAGGCGCGGGAAGTAAAGGTTGAATACGCTGGTCATGGCCGTGTGCTGCCCGTTCACACTCCATCACCTCCATCTCGCCATCCTCTTCCTCATCTTCCTGCCCCTGCTGCTTCAATGGTAAAGAGAGCTGGGGGGAAGGAAAAGGGAGGAGGGAGGAGGGGTTGGGTGGGAGACGGCAAGAATAATTGCGCTGCGTTGGTCCCTGCTGCATGTGCTGCATGTGCGTCTACCCCCTCCTACTCCTCTCCCCTCCCCACCTTCTCTCAAACGGTCCTTCTCTCTCCCTGTCCTCTCTCCGTCCACTCACCTGTGCGAATTCGTCCACATTCACTTATATGGACCACTGCAGACCACTCTGTTAGTGCATCAACCCTGTGATCCCTTAACTCTCTCACTCCTCTCCTCTCCCCACTCCTCCTTCCCTCTCCCCATCCTCTCTCCGTCCACTCACCTGTGCGAATTCGTCCACATTCACTTTCATCGACCACTGCAGAACGCTCCCTGCTCCTCCTGCTGCCGCTGAATGTCGAGCACCAGCTGTCCGGTGTTGTGCTGCTCCTGCCACTGACGCCGCTGCTCCTATTGATGCTCTGCCTTGCACCGCTTGCACTGCTGGCACTTGCACTGCTGGCACTTGCACCTGTGCTGACTGCACTTGTGGAGCCTGAGAGCGTGGGGACAGGGGAGACAAGCCAACGCCTCTACCCAATCTCCTGCTCCCTACCCCAGTTCCGGCTGGTATCAAATCCCCCGCCCCTCCTCCCCCTCCTGCATCCCCTCCCACTCTCTCTCCTCCCACTCCTTCCCCTGCTCCCACGCGTCTGTCTGCCCCTACCTCTGCCCTACAAGACAACGCGGAGGAGGAAATAGGAGAGGAGGCGGAGGGAGAATATGCCAAGGACGAAGAAGCCAGCACTGCTGACTCACATGCACCGCCACGTGCACCGCCATACACTCTACAAGCATCCTCTCTTACAACTCCTCCTGCCGGTAACGACGCAGAAGCAGATGCAGACGCCACCAAGCCAATGCCCCTATCCTCACACTCCCGCACCCTCTCCCCGGCAGACCCATGCCTTCTCATACTGTCACTGCCACCTCTCCGATCCCCACCAGCAGTGCCCTCCACCCCTCCTTCCTCCACCTCTACAGCGTAAGGCGGGTGCAGAATAGACGGCCGGATCTTGTACTTGTCATCCTCACTCCGACTCCATTCTAGGGTTGTTGAATGCTCCTCCTCCCCCTGCCCAGACCTGTGCATATCTGCTTTCTCTCCACCCTCCTCTCGTTTCTTTTCCTCCTTCCTTTCCCCCTCTCCATCCAAAGCATACGGGGCTCGAAGACTTGGCACCGATGCTTTACCCCCCACAGTCGCACGCCTAACAGCCGCCCCACCACTAGCAACACCACCATCACTCGCAGCAGCACCATCGCTCTTCCTCTCCCCACCGTTACCCTCACCCTCTCCCTCCTCGTCCTCACTCCACCCGCTAATCTGCCCAGACCCAACTCTCTGCACCCCTGCTCCTCTCCCCTCCCCACTCCCCTCACTCCCCCCCCTCCGCTCCTCTCCTCTCCCCTCCTCATTCCCAACCCCATTCCCCTCCCCTCCCGCCTCCCCTCTCTCTCCGCCATACCCCACCGCCCTCCTGCCCCCTCCTCCCCCTCCCAAGCTATCCTCCAGGCCAGAGAACGACCCGATCCAGTCAGACACTTTATTCATCGCCTCTACCACTGTTGCCGCCCTGCTGCCCGCGCCCCCTCCTGCAGTCGCCACCGCTCTGCTCCAGTCAAACGTCACCCCGAAGCCAGACATCCCTCCCAGAATACCACCTGCACCAGATACGCCTGGGGGTGCGCCTGAAGCAGGTACACCTGTGCCTGTGCTTGAAGCAGATGCGCCTGCTTGTGTAGTACCACGAGACACACCAGCTGGTTGAACCTGAGTAGGCACAGAGGCTGCAGCAGTGGGTGTGACAGTGGCATCTGAATCCACCCCAGCTGCTGCTTTGGCTGATGTATCTACTCCTGGAGCAGTCGAGGCAGAGGAGTCTGCCCCTGCGCATGCGTGATTGCCCTTGTTACTTCTGTCTGTAGCAACAGCAGCAGCAGCAGCAGCACCAGTAGCAGCAGCAGCACCACCACCAGCAGCAGCAGAAGCAGCAGTCACCCCTCCAGCATCTAGAAACTCCTGAATTTTATGGGACTGGTGACCACCACCCACGTCTGACCCATTCAACCTCCCATTCAACCTCCCATCACCATCATCCCCCACCCCACGCCGTGCAGAGTGTGCAATCACAGCCCCAGTCACCCCTCCAGCCTCCAGAAACTCCTGAATCTTACGGGACTGGTGGCCACCACCCACGTCTGACCCATTCAACCTCCCATCACCATCATCCTCCCCCACCCGATGCCGTGCAGGGCGTGCAGTCGTATCAACAACCACCCCTCCAGCGTCCAGAAACGCTTGAATCTTATGAGACCCAGAGGGGTTTTCTCTAGGAATCTTATGAGACGTCTCAAAAGGGTTTTGCGAACGGACTCCCTGCGCCTCCTCTCTGGTGCCCTTGCCAAAGGCCCCCTCCCCTCTCCTGGCAGAGGAAGAGGAATCTTCCCCCTTGGAGATTGCATAATCGCCCGATACAGATGCTCTCCGCCCTCCCCTTGCCCCCACTTCTTTGAAACTACCCCCTGCTGCCCCTCCCGCGCCTCCCCCCCCAGCCGCCCCTCCTGCCCCTCCTCCTCCCACTCCCCCTCCCCTTCCCATTCCTCCTCCTCCTCCTGCCGCTCCGATCCTGACCTCCCTACCACTCACGGACCCAGCACCCCTACCCCACTGCTCCCCCACTCCTCCCACGGACACTCTCCGCCCTCTCCCCCCTCCACTCCCCACCCCCACACTCTCCCCTCCCGCACCTCCCCCTCCTGCCCCCACCCCGCCCGCACCCCCACGAAACCCGAACCTGCCCCCTCCAGAGCTCCCCAAGCCTGCCTTGTGGTCCGGACCTGCCTTTTGAGTTGACTTTTGAGTCGACTCAGCGCTTGCCTTGTGGCTCGGACCTGCTGAGTTCTCGCCCTTGATGGGGGACACCTGTCGAGTGCGGTGTATAGATGCTGCTGTGGGGGACTGGTGGTTCTGCTGCTGATGGGGGTGGTGGTGGTTCTGATGCTGATGGGGGTGGTGCTGGTTGTGGTGATGCTGGTGGGGTGATGGGGAGGAGTGGTGGTGGGGGGAGCGATTGGCGGGGGTACCTGGTGGAGGGGGGGAAGAAGAAAGGCGGAAGGGGCGAAGGGAGACACAGGAGGGTTAGGTGATCTATGCTCTCGCCCTTGACAGGGGGAGATCTGCCAAGTGCGGTGTATGGAAACTGCTCTGGGGGACTGGTGGTTTTGGTGCTGCTGGTGGTGCTAGTTGTGGTGCTGGTGGTGCTGGTGGGGTGAAGGGGAAGGGACGGGACCCGCCTTGATAAAATGGTGCATGAGCATTAACAGTATAATGCTGGGGTTTGACATGAGGAGACAATGGAGGTGGTGGGTGAGGTGGGCAAGGGAAATAAGCCCACGCCTACACACCCACCTTGGACGCACGGAGCACGGGCGGTAGCAGCAGATTTTTGAGTCGACTCAAAAATCGACCCACCTTGGACGCACGGAGCACGGGCGGTAGCAGCAGATTTTTGAGTCGACTCAAAAATCGACCCACCTTGGAGGCACGGAGCACGGGCGGTAGCAGCAGAGTGCACAGGCGTGGACACAGAAGACACGGTGGAGGAGATGAGAGAGGTGGTGGGCGAGGCGGGGAGAGGTAAAAAAAGGTACAAACCCACACTTAGGCACCCACCTTGGAAACAAGGAGCACGGGAGTGCACAGGCGTTGACACCGAGGAGACGGTAGAGGAGACGGTGGAGGTGGTGGGAGAGGCAGGGAGGGGCAGGCCCATCGTGGTGCCTGACAGGCTCCTCTCCTCCTCCGTGCTCTCTGACGCGCTAGATCCAAACGGCGCCACTTGCTGAGGGGGGGAAGGAAAGGGGGAATGACGTTCATAGAGACACAGGTGCTTGACAGGCTCCTCTCCTCCTCCGTGCTCTCTGATGCGCTAGATCCAAACGGCGCCACTTGCTGAGGGGGGGAAGGAAAGGGGGAATGACGTTCATAGAGACACAGGTGCTTGACAGGCTGCTCCCCTCCTCCGTGCTCTCAGAGGCGTTAGATCCAAACGGCGCCACTTGCTGGAGGGGACAACCGGGGAAAAACAGGGAGGATAAGATAGGGTAGAGGCAGAGGGCGAGGCAGGCAGGGGCAACCCCATGGTGGTCCCTGAGAGGCTCCTCTCTTCCTTCCTCCGTGCTCTCAGAGGCACTAGATCCAAATGGTGCCACTTGCTGGAGGGGACAACCGGGGCAAAACGTCGTACCATAAAAGCATGCCATACCATGAGGTCCTCGTGCCACAGGCTGACGCAGGTGTGGGCGAAGGAGGCCTCCTCTCCTACAGCCTGCTGCTATTGAGGGAAACGTAGTACCATTACCATACCATGGCATGGCAGCACCGTGCATGAGATGACAGCATAGCAGCACCACACCGCCATACCATGAGGTCGACGTGCCACAGGCTGACGCAGGTGTGCGAAAAGGAGGCCTCCTACAGCCTGCTGCTATTGAGGGGAACGTGGTACCATTACTATACCATACCATGGCAGCACCATACCATGACGTCCACGTGCCACAGGCTGACGCAGGTGTGCGAGAAGGACTCGAAGTGCGTCAAAGCCCATACAGCAATGAGACTTGCACCATGGCAGCACATACCATGAGGTCGACGTGCCACAGGCTGACGCAGGTGTGCGAGAAGGAGGCGCCATACAGCCTGCTGCTATATGGGGAAACGTTGTACAATGGGCTATACACAGGCACAGAATGACATGAAGCATGCACTTTATACTTGGTGCCATACCATGAGGTCGACGTGCCACAGGCTGACGCAGGTGTGCGAGAACGAGGCGCCATACAGCCTGCCGTCGTGAATGCTGACGTCAGCTACCTTGGACCATCCCACGCTGACCGTGTCGAAGCAGCGCACGGGCTCCCACCCCCACACCTGCAAGGGATGGGAGGATGAGAGAACGTGAAGTGGTGGAGTGAGGTGAAGAGAGGTGGGGAGGATGGGGAGGGAAAGAGTGGTGTTTCTCGCACCGTCCACCATCCCACACTGACAGTGTCGAAGCAGCGCACAAGCTCCCTCACCCACACCTGCAGAGAGAGGTGAATAGGTAGAGAGAGATGAAGAGAGTGTGACGTGGTGGAGAGAGGTGAAGGGAGGTGAAGAGGATGGGGTGGAAATGAGGCGCGTCCCTAACGATCTTGGACCACTCCGCGCTGACCGTGTCGAAGCAGCGCACGGGCTCCCATCCCCACACCTGCGGATGGGAGGTGAAGTGGTGGAGAGAGGTGAAGAGAGGTCAAAAGAGGTGAAGAGGATGGGGTGGGAATGAGGCGTGTCTGTAGCCACCTTGGACCATCCCACACTGACCGTGTCGAAGCAGCGCACAAGCTCCCACCCCCACACCTGCGGGAGAGAGGAGAAGAGAGGTGAAGAGAGGTGAAGAGGATGGGTTGGGACTGAGGGGTGTTTCTACCACCATTCACCACCCCACGCTGACCGTGTCGAAGCAGCGCACAGGCTCCCACACCACACCCACACCTGCGGGTGGGAAGCAAGGAGGTGATCCGAAGAGCAACCACACGAGTTGACTTTTTAGTCGACTCAAAAGTCAACTCTTTTGAGTCGACTCAAAAGTCCACTCTTTTGAGTCGACACAAAAGTAAAGTCGGCTCCCACACCACACCCACACCTGCGGATGGGAAGCAAGGAGGTGATCCGAAGAGCAACCGCACAAGCTCCCACCCACACATGCCGATGGTTGGAGAACGCAAGAGGGAACATGTGGGCAAAGAAAGCAAAGATGTGGAGAAGTTTATTGCTAGGGGCGACAGGAGGTAAAGGACACAAAAAGAATCGAGAAAATCAAAGGACCAGGAGACGAAAAGGAGACAGCTGGCACTAGCAGAGCAAGCAATGCGCACCTTGAGCGAGTCGGCAGAGCGAGCAAGCAGCAGAGAGCATCTCAACGCGGCCGGCCTGCGGACGTCTCACCTTGAGGGAATCAGCGGAGGGAGCTAGCAGCGCTTGGCCATCAGGAGTGAAGGCTAGTGAGCGCATGCCACTGGCCTGCAATGGAGGCACGGCAGATTGTAGCAAGCAGCACAGCACCCACCTTGAGTGAGTCAGCAGAGGGGGCTAGCAGCGCTTGGCCATCAGGAGTGAAGGCTAGCAATCGCATGCCATTGGCCTTCAGGAGGAGAGGCAAGGTAGATGGCAGTAGCAAGCAACACGGAACCCACCTTGAGCGAGTCAGCAGAGGGCGCTAGCAGCGCTTGGCCATCAGGAGTGAAGGCTAGCGATCGCATGCCATTGGCCTGCAGTGTAAGGCAAGGCACACAGTAGAGACACGTGTAGGGCCAGAGAGTAGAACAGAGGGGCACAGGGGGACACAGGGATACACAGGGATACACAGGGGTAAACAGGGGCACACAAGGGTATATGGGCAAACAGCGGAAAACAGGGATAAACAGGGGCACAACAGGATGCAGACTTGAGGTTTTAGTGGGAGAGAGTTTCGCCGTGTGTATTCAACCAGGCTGTTCGTCCCTGCTCCTCTTTCCCTGCCTCTGCTCCTCTTTCCCTGCCTCTGCTCCTCTTTCCCTGCCTCTGCTCCTCTTTCCCTGCCTCTGCTCCTCTTTCCCTGCCTCTGCTCCTCTTTCCCTGCCTCTGCTCCTCTTACCCCACCTCCACTTCTCTTACCCTAACTCTTCTCTTGACCCACCTCCTCCCCTTTCTACCCTACCTCTGTGCCTGTGCAGCCCAACAATCACACACCTCTATGCCTACACATGCGCATGTGCACACATGCACACATGCACACATGCACACATGCACACATGCACACATGCACACATGCACACATGCACACATGCACACATGCACACATGCACACATGCACACATGCACACATGCACACATGCACACATGCACACATGCACACATGCACACATGCACACATGCACACATGCACACATGCACACATGCACACATGCACACATGCACACATGCACACACACAGGTAGACATACCTCTGTGCCCGTAGACCCAACCAGCTCGAACGTCTCCAGGTCCCAGAACTTGCACGTGCGGTCACTGGAGCCTGGTGCATGGGCACCCATGTTCGCGCACAGTTAGACATACCTACGTGCCCTATCTACACTCCTGCTACCGCCACCAGAAACATACCTCTGTGCCCGTAGACCCCACCAGCTCGAACGTCTCCAGGTCCCAGAACTTGCACGTGCGGTCACTGGAGCCTGGTGCATGCATGCACACAGATGGGCACACAAGCACACATGCACACATGCACACATGCACACATGCACACATGCACACATGCACACATGCACACATGCACACATGCACACATGCACAAATGCACACACATTCGAACATCCACACATGCACACGCATGCACACATGTAAACACAGGCACACACATTCAATCAAACACATGCACACAAACCCAGACACATGCACACATGCACAAGTCAAGTTAGAGGTACACTTAGAGCATGGGGAAGGGCAAGGAAGCAGGATACGTACGTGCCTCAGAGCAAAGGGCACGAATTCGTATCATGAGAGCAGGGTGGACAGGCACTGACAGGAGGGGAGGAGCTGACAGGCACTCACGGCAGGCATGTAGGCGAGGGGAAGCAGGGACGGGCGGAACTGACAGGAAGCGAGCAGCAGCTCGTGCGGGTGGAGAGTGAGGCAGGTGACGGCATCGTGGCGGTGCTTGGACGGGCAGAACAGAGCACACACTCTCAGAAGGCACAAGGGGAGAGGGCAGCACTGACATGAGGCGAGCAGCAGCTCGTGCGGGTGGAGAGTGAGGCAGGTGACGGCATCGTGGCGGTGCTTGGACGGGCAGTACAGAGCACACACTCTCAGAAGGCACAAGGGGAGAGGGCAGCACTGACATGAGGCGAGCAGCAGCTCGTGTGGGTGGAGAGTGAGGCAGGTGACGGCATCGTGGCGGTGCTTGGACGGGCAGTACAGAGCACACACTCTCAGAAGCCACAAGGGGAGAGGGCAGCACTGACATGAGGCGAGCAGCAGCTCGTGTGGGTGGAGAGTGAGGCAGGTGACGGCATCGTGGCGGTGCTTGGACGGGCAGTACAGAGCACACACTCTCAGAAGGCACAAGGGGAGAGGGCAGCACTGACATGAGGCGAGCAGCAGCTCGTGTGGGTGGAGAGTGAGGCAGGTGACAACGGGTGGAGGCCTAGATATTAAAAGCAGGATAACAGCGCCTCTTACAGCTAGCAAGCAGCAGCTCGTGTGGGTGGAAGGTGAGGCAGGTGACGGCGTCGTGGTGGTGCTTGAACTCGTGCAGCACCTTGCCTGCCTGCACGTCCCACAGCTGTGAGAGAGGGGGAGGGGGAGATGGGAGGAGATGCAGAGGAGGTAAGGGCAAGGCAGGGGAGGGTGCTTGAACTCGTGCAGCACCTTGCCCGCCTGCACGTCCCACAGCTGCAGGAGAGAGGTGGGGGTAGGGATGCAAGCACAAGGAAAGCAGCAAAGAGTGAAAGGTGAGGCAGGGGCAGGTGATGGCGCCATGGTGGTGCTTGAACTCGTGCAGCACCTTGCCCGCCTGCACGACCCATAGCTGCTTGCAAGGGGAAGGAGAGAGGGTGGGGGAGGGATAGGATGGCAAGGATGAAGTCAGGAAAAAAGCCGTGTTTTGATTTTGAGTCGACTCAAAACACGGCTCATTTCACGAAGGTGGGGTAGGGATAGGTTGAGCAGGATAGAGTCAGGAAATTCACCCTGGGTGCCAACGAGTGCAGCAAGCAACTTGCCGGCCAGCATCTTCTGCCATAGTAACGAGGTGACCTTTTGAGACGACTCAAAAGTCACCAACTTGCCTGCCAGCATTTTTGAGGCGCCTCAAAAGCCAACGAGTGCAGCAAGCAATTTGTCTGCCAGCATCTTCTGCCTTGCCTTCCTCTTCCTCCACTCGTTCATCCCTTTCCCTCCTCCCTCCTATGTTCCTCCCTCCCTCCCCCTCACCTTGATAACCGAGTCCTGCCCGCCAGTCATCAGCCACTGCCCATCAGGGCTGAACCGCACACACATACTCGCACTCCCTCCCTAACCTTCCCCTCATTCTTGAAACTTGTCTCACCTTAATCACCGAGTCCTGTCCACCAGTCATCAGCCACTGCCCATCCGGACTAAACCGCACACACGCCACGCCCTTCCCATGGTTTTTTAGCACGTGCACTGCCGCTTTATGTCTTCGCCCTTCTATCCACATCTCCCTTCCCTCCCTTCCCCTGCGTTTCTTCCCCCTCCCTCACCTTGATCACCGAGTCCTGCCCGCCAGTCATCAGCCACTGCCCATCCGGACTAAACCGCACACACGCCACGCCCCTGCCGCGGTTCTTCAGAGTATGCACTGCGTACCTCTGCCTTCGCCCTTCTATCCCTATCTTCCCCCCCTCCTTTCCCCTGCCCCACCTCACCTTGATCACCGAGTCCTGCCCGCCAGTCATCAGCCACTGCCCATCAGGGCTGAACCGCACACACGCCACGCCCTTCCCATGGTTCTTCAGAGTATGCACCGCCTCCTTCTGCCTGGGGTCCCACACGCGGGCAGTCGAATCCTGGGAACCCGACGCGAAGAACGGTTCAAAGGGGTGGAAGTCCAGCGAGAGGGCCGACCCCCTGTGGCCCGTCAGGGTGCGCACGGCTGGTGTGGGAGGGGTTGCAGTGGAGGGGGGAGGAACATTGGCAGGGGACCAGGCTGTTGGGCTCAAAGGGGTGGAAGTCCAGCGAGAGGGCCGACCAATGGCCTGTTAGGGTGCGCACGGCTGGTGTGGGTGTGTGTGTTTGGAGGGGTGGGGGGAGTGGGGGGGATGGGGGGAGAAGAGGGCATAGAGTAACAGAGGGCAGGAAGTCCAGCGAGAGGGCTGACTCCCTGTGACCCGTCAGCGTGTGCACGGCTGGGGGAGGTTGGGTGAGGGTGGGGGGGTGCCCGGGGAGGGGAAGGTGTTGGGGGCGGTGGGCGGGTTATGAGAAGCAGGGCGAGAGGGGTCCAATGAGACAAACAAACCCTGTGGCCCGTTGGGGTGCGCACGGCTGGTGTGAGTGCGTGTGGGGGGGGGGAGGAAAGGAAGGGAAGAGAATGTAGGGTGGGGCATGGAAGGAATCACGTGGGCGGACGTCTGGCAAGGCAATCAACCCCCTGTGACCTGTCAGGGTGCGCACAAGGTGACTTTTGAGTCGACTCAAAAGTCAGGTGGGGTGGGGCATGGAAGGAATCACGCGGGCGGACGTCCAGCAAGACAGCCGACCCCCTGTGACCTGTCAAGGTGCGCACGGCTGGTGAGGGTGGGTGGTGGAGGGAGGGGGTTGGGGTGGGGAGGGGGAGATGGGGGATGAAGCAGAGGAAAAGGAAACAGCTGCGTGGGAGGAGTTCAGAGCAATGGCTGAACCCCCGGTGGCCCGGCTGGGGGAGGTGTGGGGGGGTTGGGGGAGGTCGGGTTGGGTTGGGGGAAGGAAAGGCTTGTCATGAGAAGCAGGGCGACAGGTGGGTAGAGGTCAAGAGATATGACCCTGCCAGCCGGCTCCCTCCGCTGCAGGTCCCACACCCTGGCAGTGCACGACTCATTTGGTTTTGTGCTGGCACAGACACTGCAACCACAGCTAGAATGTGGGGTAGTTTGCCCTAGTTCCAATTAGTCCCAAAGATCTTCACTCTAAAAGGCTCGCACTTTCCCCCTCGTTGAGGCCCCACAGCTTCACAGATCCACTGAGCACGCCCGGGATCGCCTGGTCCTCTGATCTGCTCAGCGGCGCTCTCTTCTCTCGCTAGCTTCACGAACACACTGAGCTTCACACACAGTGCGTGGTTGCCTCACCTTTGCCCTCGTTGAGGTCCCACAGCTTCACAGATCCACTGAGCACGCCCGGGATCGCCTGGTCCTCTGATCTGCTCAGCAGCGCACTCTCCACTTGCTAGCTCCACAATTTGATGCCTCACCTTTGGCCCGCCTCACAGTCAGTCCTGGTAAGCTTCACAGAGCGTGCCTCACCTTTGCCCTCGTTGAGGTCCCATAGCTTCACAGATCCACTGAGCACGCCTGAGACCGCCTGGTCCTCTGATCTGCTCAGCAGCGCACGTCCCGATTAGAGTCACTCAAATGGCCCACCCACCTTTGCCCTCGTTGAGGTCCCACAGCTTCACAGAGCCACTCAGCACCCCCGAGAAACCCTGGTCCTCCGATCTGCTCAGTAGCGCACTGCCCTCGTTGAGGTCCCACAGCTTGGCTGTGGGATAGTATGTCCTCGTTGCGGTCAGTCCTAATAATCTTCATAGTGCATGCCTCACCTTTGCCCTCGTTGAGGTCCCACAGCTTCACAGATCCACTGAACACGCCCGAGATCGCCTGGTCCTCTGATCTGCTCAGCAGCGTGCTCTCCACGGCGCTGGTGTTGCCACGCAGCTTCTGCCATGGGATGGCAGAGACGGGTGGAGAGGTAGAGATGTGGATGGAGAGAAACAGCAGTGAGCGAAAAGGCAGTGAGCGAAAGTGCATTGGGCGCAGAGACTGCTCAGCAGCGTGCTCTCCACGGCGCTGGTGTTGCCACTCAGCTTCTGCCATGGGATGGCAGAGACAATTGGAGAGGTAGAGTTGTGGATGGAGAGAAACAGCAGTGAGCGAAAAGGCAGTGAGCGAAAGTGCATTGGGCGCAAAGCGTGCTCTCCACGGCGCTGGTGTTGCCACTCAGTTTCTGCCATGGTTCAGCAGGTGTGGATGCGTAGACAGGAATGTGGATGGAGAGAGAGAATGTAGATAGAGGCGGTGAGTAGACGGCAAGAGGAACATGCACAATGACTGCTCATCGAAGCGCTCTCCACTGCGCTAGTGTTGCCGCTGAGCTTCTGCCATGGCAGGGCGCATGTGGGACGGAGTGAAAGGAACCAAGATTCGGAAGAGACAGGCGTAGGTAGAGAAAAAGCACTGCATGCAGAGTCTGCTCAGAAGGAGCGCTCTCCACTGCGCTCTCCGCAGCGGTTACCGCTCGTGAATGGAACTGACCTGCTACTTCTTGATATGGCTACCCGCAATGACTCTATCTTGGCCGTACAATTCATCCATGCTTACGAGCAGAGGTTCGCGGTCGTGGATGGACCAGAGGAGCAGCTTTTTGACGCCGCTACCTAATTAACATTCATTTGCTTCAAACGGGTTACCAGCACGCTGTTACCACACTTACGAGGAGCGGTTCGCAGTCGTGGGTGGACCAGAGGAGCAGTTTCTTGTCGTCGACACCCCGAACAGAAATTTATTCGCTTAAACGGGTTACCAGTGCGCTGTTACCAACACTTACGAGCAGCGGTTCGCGGTCGTGGGTGGACCAGAGGAGCAGCTTCTTGTCGTCGCCGCCCGTAATCACCCTTTCGCCCGTCTTCCGCCCGATGCTCACGCATTTTACACTGGCTGTGTGCGCCGCGAACGTTTCTGGTTGCCGTTAAGTTACGTGTTACAGGTACGTGGTAAATCAGCGAGTTAAGGAAACCAGGATGGTGATAAAAAAAAGAAAGGGAGAATACTGTATCGAAGACGGAAGAGCAAAAGCCGGGAAAGCTGAAAAGAGGTTGTGTAGCTTTATAGTTGGGAGAAGAAGAGGGGAACGAGCACAGGAATGGACTTGCAAACCGAACCAGATTTTGCTGGAAAAGTGCGAGTGGCTTGGCGAAGAGAGAAAGTGTGTATAACGAGGATACGAATCTTCTGCGCTCTTCGCGTGTCTGGTCGTCCCATCGCAAGCTTTCTGTGTGATGTCGATGGCGGTGCGGATTGGCTAATTAGCTGCAGATTGTGACGTGAACGATACTGCTAACTGGGTGCCTACATGTACTTATTCGACTACCCTACACACTAAGGCTGGAGGGCTCTCATTATTTAGTAGCTCAAATCCATGCTTGTTGGAGACCCCACTAAAGCAGAAAGACGTCCACCTAAACGTGTATCTACAACGTGCCGGCCTAGGTGTGTCTTGACTGTCTTCGGAGTCTAGCACTACTACGCCATCAGAACGACGATGATGGACCAAATAATGACACTCGCAATCTTCGTCCTTTCATAAGAAACGATACTAAAGATACTAGCTACTACAAAAGCCACGTCACTACGAAATGCGTGACCGAATGGCGGCGCGGGGTGACGAAACGCAAGAATCTAGAGAGCTGATCAGCCAGCTCTAACTGTCTTGTTCGAGCTGAACCGCGAGGCACGATCAGGTAATTCCTAGATTCTAGTTCATTTCTAACGGTGGTGTGGGTGAGCTCCTTGGTCTTTGGTGGATTGTCAAGGTGACAGATGCATTTGGCGGGAAACCCAAAAAAACGGCTCGGCTCTGCTCATGGTCATGGTGTTCCTCGCTCTGCCATTGCCATGGCTGCCGAACCGAATGAGGTGCTGCTACCATTGACGAGCTTATGTCATGTTTCGCCCATACTCAGTTTCAAGGAAGGTATATTCGCAGCGGGTAACAAAGAATGCCGTTTCGGACTGACGAACACACGAGTTCGCACAGATATCCCATCCCCTCATCCTGGGTGCTGAAACATGGGCCTTGGTTTGGGGTCTCGGGAAAAGCCCGCCAGTGGTCATCTGGCACATTCGTTATACGAACTGACACCGAACCGCTACCAACATGTCAGTGCGCAGACCCTCACTTTTCAAAAACCAGGAAGTTGTTTGTCTTTGCAACCATATGCAACCAGATTTGCAGAAAGGGGAATTTCGGCAGCTTTACCGTTCAACGAGTTTTCCTGTTGCGCGTTTTTGCTCGTGACAGTCATCTAGAAGATTTCAGCAGCAGAGAAGTGAGGCCGATCAGTGATCAAATCATACCGCTCAGCTCGTACACGCCGCGATCACCGTTCGACATCACGCCGGCGCCCGAAGCCATAAATTCCCCGCGTCCAATCTGGCGCGACGACCAAGCGTTCACTGCGCCGTACCGGTCTTAGCTATCCGTTCTGTGCCTTTATGTCCTTCTGTCGCGCCGCACTGTAGTAGTAGCATCAATGGCGTCTTCCGGCCTCAGATCGCTCCAGCATTTTCGTTCTCGATCTTCAGCAATCCCTCTCGCTCGCTGCGCCAAATCGAACCATTCCCTCGATCATGTGGATTCGTTGTCGAATCAACTCGCGAGACTGCTGCATTCGAGCGATGCACGAGAACCGTTCCACAGTCATAGTAGCGACAGCTGCGAAAACGAAGGACGTGTTACCACGATATTTAGATCGGATCCAACCGAAGCAGCGCCGAACCTCGAGCGTCCGACAGACGAGCCTCCTGGGAGGTCTGGGGTAGCAACGGGGTTCGGAGCCGGCAACAGCTTCGGCGGGACAAGGAGGTTCGGATCCCGAGAGAGCAGGTTCGGCGAGATCCAGGCGGATCGCGGCTTGCTGAATCGGATTATGAACCTCGCTTCTGCCGTGGGGAGTGCAACGAATAGCAGCGCGAGAAGGGTCGATGCGGACGGTGCTGATAGCAGCAACTCCTATAAAGGTCGAAGAGATGGAAGTCGAAGAGACGCTAGCAGTGGTGTCAGCAGTAGCTCCGATAAGCACTGTTCCGTTACCAGCAATGGGGCCAGCAGCGGCACTGAGGTGTTCCAGGATTCGATTGAAACTACCACGTCGGCGGGCGATGGGACAGGAGGAGTTGGTGCGGCGGCGTGGGATCGAGCGGTTGGGGAAATCGGTCCTGAGAGGCTAGGAGCGGTGGAGGGTTTTGAGACGCCTGGCGAAACCGGTCTTGAGTGGTTGAGAGCGTCGTCGGAAGGAAGAGAGGGCGGAGCGTCGGAGGAGCGTAGGAGCAGCAGCAACATTTGCAGCAGCAGTACAACCACCTGCAGCAGCAGCAGCAGCAGCAGCAGCAGCAGCAGCAGCACGAGCAGCAGTAGCAATGGCAATAGCAGCGGCAACAGCAGTGGCTTGGACGCACTCAGGCTTTTGCTTAGGCCACAGGGTATCGAGCGAACGGGGGAGGAGGCCCCACAGGGGCGGGGAGGTTTGACCGATAGAGGGAGAGACTTGGGCACGGAAGGGCCGAGAGAGCAAAAGAAAAGCGAGGAAGAGGAGTTTTTGAGAGGGGATGGCGGCTTTGGTGACCCTGATGTTGCTGTGGAAGGGGGTGTGAGTGCTTCAGACAACGAGCGTGAAGTGAATGAGGAGGAGATATTGAGGAGGGATGGCGGCTTTGGTGACCCTGATGTTGCTGTGGAAGGGGGCGTGAGTGCTTCAGACGACGCAGCTGAGTTTACTAGAGGCGAACGGTTCTGGAATGGCGTTCCAGCGAGGCAGGCTATAACGAGGACGGATGGGGAGTATCGGTGCTGCTATGGAGTGCAGGTAGCGGGGTTGCCTCTGGACATATCAGAGGAGGACACGTGGCAGATGATGGAGGGGCGAGGAGGAGAGGTGGTGGATGTGAGGCTGTACAAAGGGACACGTGGCAGGGGCACACGTGCTGTAGTCTATTTTAAGACCGAGGACGGCTTTCTTAATGCTCTATCTTCCTCCCATCACTCTTCCTCCTCTTCCGCCTCGTCCTCTTCCATCTCTTCCTCCTCCTCTTCATCCTTTTCCTCCTCCCCCTCCTCCTGCTCCTCTCCTATCTCTCCTCCTCCTGTCTCCGCGCCTCTCTCTATTACCCCCTGTAGACACACCCTCCCACTCCTCGCCCCAACCACCCGGGCCCACGTTGACAAGCTGACGTGGCAGCAGCAGCACGTGACGTGGCAGCAGCAGAGAGGGAGCGGCAGCAAGCGCACGACAGAGAGGGGTGTGAGAAACGGGGAGCACAGGGCAGGGAGTAGCAGGAGGCAGCAGCAGGGGAGGGTTCAGGGTTTAGGGCATAGTGCTTTAGGGCTTAGTGGTTCAGATGGTCTGCTAGCGCTACTAAGCTCCCAAATACCCTGCGTTTCACAGCCGCGTTGCACTGACAGTTTACCCCTGCCTAGGAGTGAAGACGCTGGTTTAGGCTCGGAACGAGCAGATTCGGCGGCATCTGGTTTGGGAGGTGCGGGCTTGGGGAGATTAGGTTCGGCGAAAGCAGTGACCGCAGCAGTAGGAGGGAGGGTGGTGGAACGGTCAGGAAAAGGTTGTGGGCTGCCCGGCGACTCTTTCTCTTTCCCTCCGCTTGCTGCGAAATCAAGCTTCTTTACAGTCACACTCACTGATGTCTCTCCATCAATCAGTGTAGCCCAGATTCGGGCAGCTCTTGAAGAGTTCGGGCAGGTGGACGGCCTGCGGTTGGAGCAATCTGCAGATCGGGCAGCTGGGAAAACATCGGAAGCGGATATCGGTGGACCTTTTGGCGAATCAGATTCTTTGGCTGCTCCTGAGCCACAGCTGCATTCAGTGGTGACTTTCCAGGTAACTTCTGCCCTGATTTTCTTCTTTTGATGCTTGCAGGCTTGCAGGCAGTTCCCCTGTGGCATTCTCCCCTGTGACTTTCCAGGTACACTTGACAAGTGTTGCGTGTGCAGCTTGAGGGTTCTTCCTGGCTCCACGACTGTATCTACTTCCCCACCCACCCACGCAGTCAAGGCACGCATATCAAGCAGACCCTGCCACGCTCTTCGCATCGACTAAACGATCCACCCACCTGTTGTGTGTGCAGCTTAATGGTTCCTCCTGGCTCCTGTTCCCACACCTCCACCATACCTCATTCCCCACCCTCTCACACAGTCAAACCAGGCACAGCAAGCTGCCCTGACCACTTTTGGGTCGACTCCAAAGGTATCTCCTTCCTTCCCTCCCCACCATCATATTCTTTTCCCCGACCACACAGTCAAAGGAGGCATATCAAGCAGCTCTGGCCACTCGCATCGTGACACTTGGCAGCACCACAGCGCATGTCCGAGCCTGTCCTGCAGGCTTGGAGCCACTGGTGGTCCGGTTCGAGTCCAAAAACACTCACCGCCGGCAGGCTCGGCACCAGGCTCGGCAGCAGGGGAGGCACTCGTTGGACTGTAGCGCCGTCCACTTCTGGCCGCAAGATATTCCGGTGCTGGCTGTGGATTTGCGGGCGGCGGGAGTTGTGGATGTTACGATTGCGGTTGCGGACGGCAGCTCGCAGGGAGTGGCGGAGGTGAAAGAGAGGTGCGTTGGGCAGTGGTTATGAAATTCGTTGGGCGGCCATGTCGGTAGGTAACCAAAGGAAGCTCGCAGGCAGTGGCGGAGGTGAAAGAGAGGTGAGATTGGTTTGCCTTGCAAAGTGAGTGACCTGGTAGAATGGGTAACAGGTGAGAGGTGGGTAAACCCCAAACCCTAGACGGCAGCTCGCAGGCAGGGGCGGAGGTGAAAGGGAGGTGAGATTGGTTGGGCAGGCAATGTGGGTGGGCTGGTAAAGTGGGTAACAGGTGACACGTACAGGCAGTGTGGTTGCTGTGAGACAAGTAGGAAGCAGACAGCAGGTCCCAGGCATTGGTGGGGGTGAAATAGAGGTGAGTGAGATTGGGTTGCCAGGCGAAGTGAGTGGGTGAGCTGGTAAGGTGGTAAACAGGCAACAGCATACAGGCAGTGTGGTTGCCGTGACAGGTGGGAGGAAGCAGACAAGACAGCCCGCAGGAGGTGTCTCAAGCTCAAAGCAGCGAGTCCCCACTGAGCCTCCCCTTCGACCCGCTCATCAGCCTGTGCTGCCCTTACATCCCCCCTGCACCTCTTCTACCCCATCCCCCTCAGGCTCAAGGCGGCGAGTCCCCAGTGGGCAGTGAGCCTCCCCTTCGACCCGCCCATCAGCCCATGCCTCCCCTTGGAGCCTGTAGAGGGGGGGGTTGCTTCCCTTAACCTCTCTGCACCCCTCTGCATCTCCCTCTCCACCTGCTGTCTCTCAGGCTGAAGGCAGCGAGTCCCCAGTGGGCTGTCACCCTCCCCTTCGACCCGCTCATCAGCCCCTGCTACCCCTTGCAGCCTGCTACCCCCATACTCCCCCTTACCCCCCTGCTGGATGCAGACCACAGCCCGCAGGCAGTAACACGGGCTGAAAGCAACGAGTCCCCAGTGAAGGGGACTAGGAGCCTCCCCTTCCCCTTCAATCCGCTCACCAGCCCCTGCTGGCCCTTGGAGCCTGGAGGGTGGCGAGATGGGGGTGGTGCGCGGAGAAGCAGAGAGCACAATCGTCCCTTCACCCTTCTCCCCATTCTCTGTCCCTTCATCCCTCTCAGGTTGAAAGCAGCGAGTCCCCAGTGGGCTGTGAGCCTCCCCTTCGACCCGCTCATCAGCCCCTGCTGCCTCTTGGAGCCTGGTGTTTGGTTGTGGAGAAGCAAATGAGGTGACTGTCCCTCTGGATCCCGCTGTCCCATGCTTCACTGCAGTCTGAAAGCAGCGAGTGGCCTGTCAGCCTCCATGCCTCTTGTCCTGCTCCCTTCACCCCCCCTCCATACCCCTTGCCCCCTGCCCCCTGCCCCCTGCCCCCTCCATCACAGGCTCAAGGCAGCGAGTCCCCAGTGGGCTGTGAGCCTCCCCTTCGACCCGCTCATCACCCCCTGCTGGCCCTCGGAGCCTGGAGGCAGGGGAACTGCTTCCCTTAACCCTCTGCACCCCTCTGCATCTCCCTCTCCACCTGCTGCACCACAGGCTCAAGGCAGTGAGTCCCCAGTGGGCCGCCAGCCTCCCTTCGACCCGCTCATCAGCCCCCGCGGTCCCTTGGAGCGTGGAGGGGGGGGGGTGTGGAGAAGCAGAGGGCGCGGCTGTCCCTCCACCCTCTCCCAATTCTTTCCTGCATCCCCCTGTCTTCCTCTTTCCCTTCATCCCCATTGCCTCATGCACCACCTCTCAGGCTGAAAGCAGCGAGTCCCCAGTGGGCTGTGAGCCTCCCCTTCGATCCCCTCATCAACCCCTGCATCCCTTTAGAACCCGGGGGAGGGGGAGCGGAGAAGCAGAGGGCGCGGCTGCAGAAGGTGCATGATAGGCTGGATGGCATGGGCTTGCGGTTACAGCGGTTACTGGTTCAGGTGGAGGATTTATCGGATGTGATTGGTCGAGAGGTGGCTGCGTTGGAGGGTGGTTTGGACGGTGATGGGCACATTGGTCAGTGTAGTAATCGGTGAGGCTAAATATAGTTATGTCCTAGTGAGTGTGTGTGTGCATAAACGATCCAAAGGACGATTTTCAATGTTGGGCTGAGAAATGCCCTTAGGATCTTTGCGAAGCTAAACTCTGAGAAGGAATGTTGTGGTTTGCGGAAGCGTTTAATGACAAGTACTGAACCACCTTGCGCTGGTATGTGAGGGCAAAGTAGATTGATTATAAGATAGTAATACAAGCCTTTTATAAGATTACAAGGAATATGAAAGGTTGTAACTAATAACTGTTTTACTGTTGCTGTTGCGGTTCGATACAGTGACGACTCGGGCAACTGCTCGGTATCGAGTCAGTTGTTTGTCATTGCTGTCGCGCTGTATTTGTCAAGTCAAAGGTGTCGGTATCTCTCTCTCCTCGCAGCTCTTCTTCCTGACTCAGCCCCTGTCCTTAATGCTGTGTCCCTAGGCCTCCCCCTCTCATCACCTCAGTCACCCCATCAAGTTCCTCAGCTCTCTCTTCATGACTGGGGCCTCTGGCCCTGCCTTTCCCACTTGGCCCCTCCTCGGCGCCTGTTCTGTTTTCTGCCGCCGATGGACTTCCTGGTTGAAAGGCTGCCCCCCAGTCGACTGCCCTGCGCTCCTTCCTGGCTCTGGGGTTGCTCTCAGGGGCCGGGCCCGTGCCACGTTCGTCTGATGATCTCTCTTCTCCTGGCCCTTCTCTCCTACCAGCACCACCACCCTGGAATCCTTGCCTTCCTTCACCCTCCATCGTTCGTTACTCAGCCCTATATCCAGCATATCCTGCCACGCCTGCTTGATATACACCTCTTCCCCCACTCCCAACTTCTGCCCCTTCTGCTCCGCATGTCCTTCTCTCCTTCGTTTGTATCGCTGTGCATCTCTGAGCTGCGCCACTTGGAGGTTCTCTAATGCCGCTGGTAGCATTTCTCTCAGATACCGTGCTCGCGCTTCAGCCAGCCCCACCCATGCCTCGTCCGAGCTGACAATGACTACATCCGTCAGGAGCCGCGGCGCGTCCACAGCCAGGATAGGTTCCCTCCCCAACAGCAAATAATACGGGGAGAATTCCTTTAGGGCCGCCTGCTTGCTGAATCGATAACTTGCAACCACCCAAGGTAACCGTGCATCCCAATCTCTCTTGAATCGCTCCCCGTAAGCCCTTAACCCCCTTTTTACGGTCTGCACGAATCTCTCGGTCAGCCCATCACTCTGAAGACGATACCGTGACGTCCGCCGGTGTGTAATGCCGCTCGCTTTCAGCAGCTTCTTGAACTCTCCCAAGAACTCGGTACCTTGGTCCATGAGCACTTCTCCGCAGGCACCGAAACGAGTCAGCACCTGGTCTTCAAATGCGGCGATCTTTGCAGAGCTCTTACTAGGCAGTGCCTTGACCTCCACCCATTTGCTGCCGTGCTCGATCATGATCAGGATAAATCTCTTTCCCCTCCGGCTGAGGGGCATCTCTCCCGCTAAGTCCAGGGACCATCGGAATCCTATCCCTCTGATGGGCAAGGACTGTAGCTCGTCTCTCCCTCTCTCGAGCTCCGCTTTGTTCCTGCTACATAGCTCGCAGGAGCCCACCCACTCTTTGATGTCTCCTCTCATTCCCGCCCACCACCAGCCGGTCTCTATTAACTAGCTCGTCCGCAGGCTGCCGTAGTGCCCCAGCTGCCGATGCACCTTCGCTATTATCTCTTTCCGCTCCTCCTGCTTGGGTACTATCTTCCACCCTTCCTTAGTGGTTTTCTACAGCTGATCTTGGTACCACCTGTAATGTAGCCCCCTGGTCCGGGCCCGTTCACTCACTGGCTCCGCTTCCGAGGTCTTTCCTTGAATCCCACGCAAGGTCTCAGCATCCTCCCAGATGTCTTCAGCCCCTTTCTGTGCCCTTTGCTTCGCTCCCTCCCCATCTATCTCCCTGGCCAGCGCCACCAAACACGCCTTTGGACTCGTAGGTGGAGGGTTACGCGAGAGCCCATCCACGTGCTGCACCGTTTTCCCTGCTCTATGCTGTATTGTGAACTCGTACTCCTGCAGCCGCATTGCCCACCTGGCGTTCCTGCCCGTCAGCGCTTGGTTGGTCATCAACCAGGTTAGAGGCTGATGGTCGGTGACTAATGTGAACGGCCTCCCTTGTAGGTACACACGGAAATGCGTGATGGCCCATACTGCGGCTAGCCCTTCTCCCTCGTATGAGCTGTAATTCGCTTCTGTAGGATTGCAGCTCCTGCTCGCAAACGCCACGACCATCTCCTAACCTTCCCTTTCTTGACACAAGATGCCTCCCATGCCAGCACTGCTCCAGTCGATGTAAAGGATGAAGGGGTCCTCTTTGCTGGGCAGGGTGAGGACGGTCCGTGTCTTCACGGCCTTGAGTAGGGCTTTGAATGCCCCCTGTTCAGCCTCTCCCCATTGCCACACATGCTCTTCTCCCAGCAGCTTGTTCAGTACCGAGGCAGTGCGGCTGAAGTTGGGCACAAACTTTCGGTAATAAGTGAGGAAGCTCAGCACTGCCCTCAGCGTGCTATGGTCCTTGGGGGCGGGGACGCGGTCCAGCACCTCCACTTTCGTCTGCTGGATGCTCAGCTTCCCCCCTTGCACCTCAAACCCCAGATACTTCACTGTACTATTCCCAAAGCTGCACTTCTTCGGATGGCAGGTCAGGCCTGCGTCTCGTATGGCCGCCAGAGTGTCGCTCACATCTTTCACGTGTTGCTCGGCCGAGGCACTGAATACTACTACATCGTCGATGTTGCAGGCCGCCGCTAGTACGTTCCTCAGCACCGAGTCCATCACCCGCTGGAACAGGGCCGGTGCGTTCTTCATGCCGAAGGGCATGAATTTCCACTCGTACAGCGCGTCAGGCCCATGGAAGGCAGTCTTCTTTCGATCCTCCTCCTTGATCGGTATCTGATTGAATCCCTGTCTGAGATCCAGCGTGCTGAACACTACCGATCCGTGCAGACGGTCAAATATCTCCTCTGCCGATTACATGGGGTACCGATCCGCCACGGTCACCTTGTTAAGTCCCCGGTAGTCCCCACACATTCTCTTCGCCGACACTTCCCCAGTCAGATCCTTCCGTGCCGCCACCACAGTTGCTGCTGCGTAGTCGCTGTCTGAGATCTGGATGAGGCCCGCCTCTAGCAGCTCGGCGCACTTCTCTCTACAGATATCCATGTCTCCGGGGCTCATCCTCCTCTTCCTCTGGTATATGGGCACCTCTGTAGTCAGCTTCACCTGCATCTGATGCGAGTTGCATTGACCCAACTCTTGCAGCGTATAAGCGAAAGTCTTCCGGTGCTGCTTCAGAACCTCCTACAGCGCATGTGCCGCTTCTGCCCCCATTCCTGTGCCTATGGGCCAGTCATCTTCGGGGCCCCTCTCCTGGTGACCGGTGGCTCCCAGTCGGTGTCCCATGGCTAGCTCACGTTCTTCTGCCGTAGGTTGCTCCCACCGCTTCCCTATGACGTCGTAAATCATCCTTGGACCGGGCAGGTCTCCCTCCATCACGAACCTGTATGCATCAACGTATGACACGAGCGTTGGCAGCACCTGCCTCGGCTTCCCTGGCACGTTGCATTGGTATTGCGACGGATGGTCAGGTGACGTGACGGGCGCAGGCAGTCGGTTGGGGCCCAGAATATCGCTGACCAGCCTGGGTTTTGGCCGCTGCATTTGAGCCAGAGCGTGGCGTAGGCTCGTATCCAAGATCCCGTTATGCCAGTACCTCCTAGGCCGGTGGGCCCTGGACCCCAGCTGCGCCGCATCCACGACCTGCCCCCTGCCTACGGTGGCTTCCACCTTGGCAAACGCCCTCCGCACATGCTCCCTGCGATCCTCGGCGAAGTCCACGTTTTCTAGGATGTAAAGCACTTCTCCTTATTTCCTTAGGACCATCTCCAACACCCTCTTTAAGTCCCGGAAGGAGGCTCCTCTGATATCTTCCATCCCCATCCCTTCTCCTGCGTGGGAGTACCCTTCACATTCCCACCCGGCTATGATGACATCAATCTGCCCCCACTTCTCCAGTGTCTCCTCCGTAGTATCCCGCACATCATCCACCACCTCCTCTTCCTCGGCGGGTAAGGCTGACTCGGCGAGCTGGTCCGGGTATTCTTCTAGCAGTAGCCTAGCGTGATGCTGGGCCATCCGGTGAACCACCGGGTCTCTCTCGACGTGGATCCACTTCCACATTCTGCAGCCCGCCTGCTGCACAGCAGCCATTCCCGTGCCTATGCCTCCACACAGCTCCATAATGTACAATGCCCCTTCGAGGGTCCATAGCCTGGTCACCCTCTCTTTCAGCGATTGCGGTTCCCTCCCTTGCCTCCTCCTTTCTATCATCTGTTCGTACTCCTCCGCGTATCTCTCCCAGCTCCAGTCATCCAGCTCCGGGCCCAGGTCGGCTGGCCGTGCCCCATAGGCTTCCCGCGGCTCTTGCCTGACGAACTTCACAGGCAGCGTGCCGACCGAGCTCTCTAGGTCCCAGTAATGCATGCGGTATAGCACTTTTTCCTGCCAGGTACAGATGGTGGCGCCGACTCGGTATAACAGCTCCATCCCCACCAATACGTCATAATCCTCCGACTCCGACACCCCACGTCACTCGAATGCAACACTCCTTCTCAGTTCCTAGGAGCAGTACAACCTTGATAGGATGTAGGGTCCGCAGCATCCATTTAGGCTCCCCCCCTTCAGCGGTCTTGAGCAGGATCCCCCTTGGCACCATCCTCCCCGGCATATCTAGCTTCAGCTGTCACGCCAATCCCTTCCCAATCAATACATGATGTGCGCCTGTGTCTATGATCGCTTGCCCTACCGGCAATCCCCCCACGGTCATGCTCCCCTTTTCCGCTATTAGGACAGACGCCTGGCACACCAGCCTCGCGTTGGGGTGTCTGCGCAGATCTGATGTACTACTCCCTTTGTGGACGTTACCCCTCGGCCCTCTCACTCGGCTAGTGCGGCTTTCGGACGACTGACTTCCCCGGGGCCGGAGGTTGATTTCATCTCTCTCTTTGGGAAACGCCATAAAGCCTCTCGCGCGCTAATACTCGCCTTCGCCTTCTTCCTCCCCTTTGATCTCTTCATATGCGAGCATTGCGCGGGCTTTCGGCTCGATTCTTGGCTTCGCTTCTAACCTCAGTTGCAGCTTCCTAATCTCAGCCTGCAACTCCTCCTTGCTAGGGTTCTCTTCTGATCTGCGGCGGCTGTAGCATACTTCGTCCTTGTGCCCCTTCCGTCCGCAGTTCCCGCACACTGGCAACTTCGAGCAGTCACGCTTGAGGTGGCCAGGCTCCCCGCATTCGTGTCATCGACGTGTGTCCGTCCGCGTCGGTCCCCCTTGCGGCGCCTCCACCAGAGCTGCCACCGCCCATGAGGATTTCGCTTTGGGCCGCGCCTCTTCGTCCTCCAGGTCTAGCATCCTTTGCGCGTGCTCCGTTCGTTTCGCCAGTCCGTACACCTCCTTCAGCGTGATATCAGCGCCAACTCCATACACTGTAGTCCGCACCACGTTCCTCAAATCTTCCTCCATGCCTCTTACGGACTTGCGCACGAGCAGCCTTTCGTCTCGACTCTCCAGATCGTCGGCGAGCTCTCTCAGCCGGCAATAATAAGCTAGCAGAGATTCGTCCTTTCCCCACTGGAACTCGCGGAATTCTTCCACCC